AAAACTCTTAATTACTTAATTAAGTACTTTAATTACTTTTCCTTTGCTATAGTTATTCTTCATAGTTTTTTTCACCGTAAAATCTCAAAGAAGAGTAGGAGACTTGCAAGCAAGCAAGGAAAGCAACAACAAAAGTTGAAAAAATCAGGAAGAGAAAAATTCCATTTCGATGAAAAATTACAGTCCATAAATTGAATTCAATCTTCATCTGAAATTCCTTAACGAATTTACAGTTGCTTCATACATCATGTATACATAAAGAAGAAAGAAGAAGAGAAGAAGAAGGAGGAGGTAGGTTCCTCCGCCAATTCCATGTAATATGTGTAAACATTTATGCATCTCTTCGAATTTCAAACGGCATAAGGAGTTGTGTGTATCTAATCTCTCAATCTCGCGCGTCTTGCACTTTCTTTCGCGAATGAGTTCGCGCTTATATTCAATAGTTTACAAGCTACACTTAGAATATAAGAATATTATTGTACAAGCTTCTCTTTCACGATCTTCTTCTTCTTTCACCTCTCAACAATGTATAGAATGGATATATAAACATGTTCACTGACGTTTTTCACAATTCTTCTTTTCTAATTATATATTTCTAACAACTAATTAGAAATTGTTGATCTTAATTGATTTTAGAATTAATTAGGTGTTAATTTTACTAAAAATCACTATCTACATAAATTTCCGATGAATCCTGATGCTAAATAGCCTATCTACAGGTTTATGAGGATTTCAGGTCGTCTGACCAGTAATTTCCTGATGGACAAAGCCTATCTACGTAGTTATGCTTTTTGAGATCAGGAACTCAAGCTTTGTAGAGGCTACTTTCCTGATTTACTTGAGCTCACACGGAAAGAAAAGGTCTGGAAGAGATATCCATAAAAATATTGTTGAGCAGAATATTGTTGTGTTATCCAATTCAATGGAAGAGACAACTTTCAGAATAGAAGCACATTCCATATTCAATGGATGAGGGAGCCATATTATATTGTTGAATCAAATATGGATGTGACATCCATAGGCATTGTTGGGCTTACAATTCATGCTATGGATTTTCACATATGGCTGTCTCATCCATATAAACTTTGGTTGGGAGATCCATAGTTAGTTCAAAATTTCGATACATGTTGCGCGCAATTCATTATCATGGCATCCATTTAAAAATGGTCGTCTCAATTTGTCCGTCGCGTCGGTTTCCTGTCACGTCTATATAATCACGTTGTGAGTTTATTGTGTATAAATAGTGTTATAATTGTTTATTATTTATTATCGTTATTGTCTATTAGTTTTATGTAAATTCATTTTCATGAAATATGTGTAGAGTATATAAGGAATATTATATGCTTAAATATTGTAGTTGCGTGTATAGTGTAGTGGATAGCGTTAGTGTTTAGTATGCGTTAGGTCTAGGGTTCGTGTCTCCCCCATCGGTTAATAATTTATTTCGTAAATATGCGGTTATTCAATAAGTGGTGTGTATTAATTAACAAAAATGTGTATAAAATATCTCAAGTGACATTGAATTTAATTAATTGAGTGATTCCAATTTTTTTTTTCCCATTTCCATTACTATGGATCACCCAACCATAGATCTTTTGCTGCTCCAACAATATACAGCCAGCCATAGAATATGGATGCAGCAACCTTAACTATGGATATCCCGTATTTTTCAATATAATATGGCTGTGATATCCATGTATCTGGATGTGTCAACTATTCCTTTTTCTCCGTGCAGTTCCATTGATTAAATACTATATCTACGTAGATAAGCTATTTAGTAAGGATTCACCGCGATTTTGCACTTAATTAATTAGCACATCCACAGTTTTGCATATTTGCAATGAAAAATTGCAATTTTTTTTAATAATAAAATTCAGCGTACCTGAATTACTCAAGAAGCATCGTTACATTTAAAAAAACATTATGTGAAAGAAAGTACAGATAAAAACGTGTTTTGTCAAAAATCTCGTAACAACGCAAAATGTAGGGGAGACCGAGGTGAGTTGTAACAAAGCCGATTTCTCAAAAGCTATATGACCTTTTAAAAATTTTGAAAAGCGTGAATTTATTCCATTTTTGATTCACAGGCTGTTTCAACTCACCTAGGTTTACGCAAATTTGTGCTTTATTGAATAGAGACTGTTTGGATTTTTGATAAAGTATATATTTTGTTTTATATTATGACTTTAAAAGTATTTAGAATTTTACAAATTTTTGCGTAAATCACTTTCATATTTTCTAAAGTAAAAAAAATATTAATAAAAATATTTTTCGAGTTGCTCTTTCATATACAAAAGTCAAAAATAATTTCTACTTATAGGTTTTTTTGTTATTATTGAGCTTGTTGCTCATTTTTAATTTAGTTTTCGGTTAAATTTGATTTATATTGATCTCATAAATTTTCTTACTCTAATTACTCCTTAATTATTTAAAAATTCGCAGACAAAATTTTATTATTCTTAAATTTCTATAAAATATATTATATAATATTATTTTTAGCTTTCATAAAGCTCAAATTGTTATAATAGATCGTAATTAAATACCAAAGATTGCGGTTTAAAATATCTAATTAGTGTTAAAGAAAACGAAGTATGTGATAACCTAATTCTAAAAATAAATGAAGATATTAAAACGAGTGTTTTATTCGTTTCTATTAATAAGATGTCTTTACTAACTAATTAAATTTACTTTGCTAACTACCCGTGTAGAAAAATCTTCTGGAACGTCTAGAGTCAAGCCTGGCGCAAACTAGAAAGCGTCTAGATTCGCAAGTCTGGAAGATCTGGTTTGACTCAGTTCTGGTGCTGCTTAGCTACAAGCCAGATCGTAGCTATTTTGTCTGTTCTGGATTGTCTAGCCAGACCCAGCTCTGATTCTAGTAAGAATTTCTAGGTAACTAAAATTTTTTATTTTGTAACTTCTATGCTGCGGCGAGCGACGCTGGTCTGAAGGGAGAATATTGTCCAAAAACACATCATTTTTCGACTTTTTAAGATAAATGTGTAGGTACAAAAAATTGTAAAACATTCAAAAAATAGTTAATAAAGAGAATCCCGTTTGAATTTTTAATTTATGTTTACTAAGGGAACCAGAAGGTTCCTAGCAGAATTATTACTGAAAAATGAATTAAATTTGTTGTAAACAACTATAACAATTATCATATTCACTGTTTGGACAGTTTTTGGTGTAAGAAGGTGTTTTCTTCTAATAATTTATTAAAATTATAGTTATTTATAAAAATCGTTGCAGTCCCCGCCGATGGTTGTCCACTACCGAACATCATCGATGTCTTTCACGTGCTGGGAGAAGCGTGCCCACTGCCAAATGTCATTGATTTCTTTGATGTGCTGGGAGAAGTGGATCCACTGCCGAACATCATTGATTTCTTTGATGTGCTGGGAGAAGTGGATCCACTGCCGAACATCATTGATTTCTTTGATGGGCTGGGAGAAGTGGTTCCACTGCTAGACATGATTGATTTCATTGATGTGTTGGGAGAAGTGGGTTGGCTGCCAGACACGACTGGCATCTTGGATATGTTCGGTAGACCTTGCCGTGGTGGCGGGGCTTTTCACTAAAGGACAACCAACAGGGTGGTTCCCTGATTTAAAAAAAAAAAAAATATGAACATGACTAAGAGTGTTATTGAATTACCCCAAGGAGGAGCCCCGAAAGGGGACAATACTCCCGTCGGTCTTACCGAGACCGTCGCAGGCCCCACGGATTTGGGGGGGGGCAAAATGTAAAAGAAAATATAGGTAATTTTGAGGCAAATGTCATGGAGCAATTTCGGATTATCCCGGAAGTTCTTGATGCTATGCGCCAGGCCTGCAAACGTCAGAAGAACGTAAATAAAGGCGTTCAGAACGGTATTGAGGATGTAGCAAGGGCGGTCGAAATGATTCGCAGTAACCTGCGATTTATCCCCGAGCCCTTTATAATCCCAGAGCCAACAAACGCGAACTGTGTAACACCACCACAGAAGCGTGCTGCGGAGGGTCCGAGCGGTGCAATTAATGATAAGAAGCGCCGAAAAAACGGGAATAGTCCGGACGCGAGTCCACATCCTGATGGCCAGTTTGAGAAGAGGAAGCGCGAGGACGTACCTGCGCAAACTCTTCCGTTGGAGCCAAGTAGTGGAGGAGCAACAGAGCAAAAAGTCAAAGAGACTTACGCTTTAGTTGCCTCAGAGAATGCCTCAGTAGATGGCGACGGCTTTTCCGTTGTCATCAAGGAAAAGCCAAAGGCCAAAAATAAGGCCTCAATAAAGAAAGACGAGAGGGAGCCCCAGAAGTATCCCTTAAAGCCGAGAAATGCAGAGGCAGTAAGGATCTCAGCGAAAAACCCAAAGGCTATTGCTGAAATCGTGACAGAAATGAAACGCTCTGTGAGGTGAAGTGTTTTCGGGGGCTCTGGCCTCGGCCTCACATGGTAGGGCCAGGGTTACGGCTCTTGTAAATAAGAGGTGTCTGGAATTGAACGGCCTCGATGAAACTACGACTGAGGAGGATGTAGTTTCAGTTTTGAGGGAGAAATTTGGGAAGCCTGACACGGACATAGTGTGCAGACTTCTGCCACGTTTTAGTGGCACAAAAGTCGCGTTGGCCCGCCTGGCAGAGACTGATAGTCAGACTCTGCTCAAGATCGGCAAAGTAAGAATAGGATAGCTAAACGTCCAAGTCAGAGAGCATTTAGAAGTTGTGAGGTGCCTAAAGTGCCTTACATATGGACACGTGACCCGATCATGCAAAGGCCCCGATAGAACTAAAAACTGTCGGAGATGCGGCGGTGAGGGTCACATGGCAAAGAACTGTTCTGTCGAACAACCTAAGTGCACAGATTAAAACATGCACAGATTTAGGGAAGACAGATATTGTCCATATCTCCGGGAAAAGCTCTTGCCCGGTTTACAGGGAATTGCTGCAGAGGCTTAAAAAGGCAAATCCTTAAAGTTTCTGAAGGTCAACCTGCACACCTGCAGGACGGTGCAGGCCCTCCTGATGCAGACGGTCAAGGAAAAAGGGATCGATATCCTGTTCTGCAGCGAGCAACGTAGGAAGAACGATCTCGCTCCCTGGTACCAGAATAAATCAGGTAGGGCCGCTGTCCAAGTGTGCAATCCTGAGCTGCGGGTTGCCAGGTACCTGGAAACGAGCAGTGGATTCGTTTGGGTAGAGGTTTCGGGCATACGTATGTACAGCTGCTACTTCTCGCCAAACGATGCACTGACGAACTTTGAAGCTGACATTCAGCAACTCGAGTCGAGTTTTAGAGAATCCAGGTTGGATGTACTCGTCACCGGGGATTTGAATGCTAAGTCGCCGGGGTGGGGCGAGTCAAGGCTCGATAAAAGAGGCAGAGTAATCGGAGAAATGGTCTCCAGGAGCAATTTAACAATTGTGAACCGGGGAAGGACATGGACGTTTAGGAGAGGTGCAATTGGATCGATCATTGATCTTACGATTGCATCATCTCCTCTATTCAGACGCATAAGCGAATGGCGAGTCTCTGAGGAGTATACCCCAAGTGACCACCAGTACATCGAGTTTTCAGTCTCAGTGGGAGACACAGGAAATGGCGGAAGACAGGAAGCACCGTGTCGAAAACGCCTCTCCTGGAATGTGAAGAAAATCAATAAGGAGAAATTTTTCCGATCCCTGGAAGAATCCCGCCTCATTGAGGAATTGGGTTGGGTACAGAGGCCAAATACCCTGGATGCAGAGGGACGAGCGGTGATGAAAACCATCACCGCTGCCTGCGATGCATCTATGCCGCGTCGCGGGTGTACCGCTTCACGTAAAAGCTCGGTGCACTGGTGGTCGGATGCGCTGGCCTCCTTGCGGAAAGCGTGCTTCAAAGCTAAAAGGAATTATACCCGTTCTAAGGGAGATCTTTTGCTAAAGGAAGTATTTAAGGAGGCCAAGAAAAGCCTGAAAAAAGAGATTCGAACGTCACAACGCCGTTGCTGGAAAGACCTAATTGATGATGTCGAGAAGGATCCATGGGGTCTGGCTTTTAAAATCGTTACTAAGAAATTAGGAACGAGGCAAAAAACCCTCCGGCCTGGACAATCCCGATTGGGTCAGAAGGATTATAAAAGCTCTATTCCCTCCTGCAGAACCGTGGGTTAGGAAGAACTGGAGTACCTGTGAAGTCGGTGAGGAGGAACTCTTCACTCTTACAGAATTGAGAAATGCAGGTAGAAGATTGAAAACAGGCAAGGCGCCTAGAATCGATGGGATAAGTAACGAGATCCTAAAATTGGTTATCGACACTTCACCCCAGATTCTGCTCCGATGTTTCAATCTTTGCCTTGAGAAAGGAGAGTTCTTCCGCGACTGGAAGCGGCAGAGGCTAGTCCTCCTAAGAAAAGGCGAAAAACCTCTAGATAAAGTCTCGTCGTACAGGCCTATATGCCTGCTAGATACGATGGGTAAACTTCTAGAGGATATGGTTCTGCAGAGAATGCAAACCCACTTGACCGGAGAGAATAGTCTATCCGATTACCAATTTGGTTTCCGCAAAGGCTGGTCCACGGTTGATGCCATTCAGGCGGTTGTGGACATAGCCAAAGCGGGAAAAAACAAATCGGGACCAAAGAAGAAAAAGGGCTTCTGCGCATTGGTGGCTATTGACATACATAACGCGTTTAACTCCGCATGATGGAAAGATCTCATCCAGTCGATGATGGAGAAGAGAATACCGCCCTACTTGTTGCGGATAACGAATGATTATCTTAGCGACAGGTGGGTAATCTATGAAGGGGACAACTGGACTCTGAAGGAAGAGATGCAAAGTGGTGCTCCCAAGGCTCGAGGGTGGGACCATTCGTGTGGAATGTATCCTACGATAACTTCTTGCGAATGGGTCTACCTGAAGGTGCCGTCATCATCGGCTTTGCGGACGATGCGTTGGTCGTGTGCTCAGCCGAAAGCGAGGAAGCCCTTGGGACATTGGTGAACGAATGTCTGCGGCGAGTTAAAAGCTGGCTGGATGCCAGAGGTCTTCAAATGGCCTTGGAAAAAACCGAAGCTCTGCTCGTCACAGACAGACGTGGTTATAGTGTCCCACGAATCGTGATAGACGAATTCGAGGTCAAGTGGAGTAACCATATTAAGTATTTAGGAGTGGAGCTCGATGAAAAGTTAAACTTACATCACCATATAGTGACGGCCTTGAACAAAGCGATAGAGTGTGCGTCAGGCTTGGCATGGCTCATGCCAAACGTTCGCGGACCGCGTGAAAGGAAAAGGAGACTGGTGGTTAGTGTTGCCCACTCTGAGCTGTTTTACGCAGCAGCAGCGTAGGCTCCCTCACTTAAAATAAGAAGCAAAACCATTTGCGATAATATGCTGTCTGCGCAGAGATGTGTTACCACCCGTATCGTCTCTGCGTATAAGACGGTCTCGACGAGTGCTGTGTAAGTGTCCCGCCGGCAGATCTTATGGCAAGGGAAAGGGAGGAAATATTTCTTCTTTTTAAAAGAAGAAATAATCCCGAGTACCTAGAGGAAGAAAGACTTATAAAGGACCGCATCCGTAAATACGCGCACGGAAAAAAATTTTTACTGTGGGGAACAGCTAATTTCGAAAATAAATAACATAAAGAATCTATTCAACTAATTCAGTGAATGATTCCCAATGCAGTAGTCAAACTGTTTCTCTGATATAGAGAAAATGAATTTCACTGGTCAGCCATATTGGAAATATTTGACAGTTTACCATTCTCATAGAAATTTCTTTAAAATCACAAATGTCAAATTTACATTTTTTACCTCTAAATACGTATTAATTTACTAATTTTACATTTTATTAGTTATAATATAAAAAATATAATTAATAGAATTTGAATATACGCTTTGAACATTAATTTAAAAATGTTTTCATTCAAGTGTTATTTTGAGGTTATGTTGTTTTCAAAAGGTAACGCAAGAAATATCATTTTCGCTGGATCAGCGAAAATGGATTATCGATGGAGCCAAATCAGTGAAACTTATAGCTATTATAGTGATTGTTATCTCTACTTTAGTAGAGCTTTTTTTAGCGTGCGAGAAACAGACTTATCGAGACATGGCAGGACTGATGGGATAGGGAGGAAAAGGGCAGATGGACCTATCGTCTGATTCCAACACTCACCACCTGGATAAACCGAAAGCATGGAGAAGTCTCCTATTATTTAACACAGGCGCTCACAGGTCACGGGTGTTTTAACTCGTACCTGTGTCGCTTTAAATTACGCGAGGACGAGGTGTGTGCGTACTGCCAGTTCGCTGAGGACAACGCGGAGCACACCCTCTTCTCATGCAAGAGATGGGACTTGGAGAGGCAAGCCATGTTCGACGGTGTTAACTGTCAGGTTACACCGGAGAACATGGTATCGCTGATGACCCAGTCAGAGGAGAATTGGCGGCAAGTCGAGAACTTCGTAATCTCGGTTATGTCGAGGAAAGATCTCGACGGCCGCCAAAAAGCGTAATTTAAACAGCTTTTAATTTGTTTGTTCGTTTCTTATTAATTTATTTTGTGTTTTATTTGTCCTTATACAATTTTAATTCATTATGTGATTTATTTGTCCTTATACATTTTTTAAAATTTGTTTTATGTTTGTATTTGTCTTTATACAGTTTTATGTTTTCAATATTATATACGCGTTTATTTTTTCTTTTTTTTTATATATCCGTTTACAATTTTATCTTTTGACATTTTACACTTAATTAAACATTTGTTTTTTTTTATTATTGTTGTGCTGTTAATTCCGCTTTTGTATTAAAATAGTTTTAAATTTTAACTATTAACGCAGGAGAACCGCAGACAAACAACAAAGTTGCAGCAGCGATAGAGTTGGAGCGCCTCCCTCGAAGGCTAAAGTCTTACGACAGTTCCGAGGAAGGGTAAAGGGATCCAAAAGAAGGGTTATGGGTTTTAGTGGGTCGGGCTGGCAGTAGGTCGCCAGTTTATTTAATTTACTATTTTATACATTTATTTTTCATTTTGTTTTTATATTTCCTTTTGTTTTATCATACCAACCCCACATAACCTTGGAGTGCGGAATTCAAGGTATTTGTACGCAGATTTCCCAAAAGTCCCTAAGCAAAAAAAAAATCGTTGCAGTAAATTATAAAATTATTGTAGCCTGAATCTCAATTAAACATTATTATTTCTGTAATTTATGGAAATTTTTAAGGTAATTAATGGAAATTTATACAGTAATTTATAAGAAAAAATTAAATTAATTAATTTATAATTAAATAAAAAATTTAATTTTAGAAAAAAAAAATTCTTCTTCTTCTTCTTCTTTCTTTTAATTTATAGAAATTTTCGCAATAAATAATAAAAATATGTTCCGCATAAGTTACAATTAAAAATTTTGGATTTCAGTCATTTATGAAAATTTTCGAGGTAATTTATAAACATTCTGACGACAATTTATAAAACTATGTAAAACACATAAACGAGAACTAAAAAATTTAACTTTGGTAATTTATGGAAATTTTCGCGGTAGTTTATAAACATTTTGACGATAATTTATGAAACTATGTAGAACACAAACGAGAACTAAAAAATTTATCGTCGGTAATTTATGGTAATTTATGGAAATTTATGCGATAACTTATAAACATTTTGACGATAGTTTACAGAAATATGTAAAACACAAATTCCCGTGTAGAAAAATTTCGTGGCGCTAGCTAGCAGCGCTAGACTACTTGTAAATTTACCATGTATCTAGCACTGCTAGCTAGCACCAAGAAATTTTTCTACACGGGTTAGAACTAAAAAATTAAACGTCGGTAATTTAGGGTAATTTATGGATATTTTAGAGGTAATTTATGGAAATTTATTAAGTAATTTACGGTAAATTTACTATGATATAGTTTATAACAAGTTTTGTTATTTTTCTTTATGTATCGTAACACTAAACTTGCAGCAGTTTCTTGATAATCCAATGCCAGTGGAAATTCTGTTTCAATTTTTTTTTAATTTTTAGAAACATTATTAATTATTTTTTATTGAAAATTATAAATAATATTTCATTATTAATTTAATTTTTTGAATTTAGATTAATTAAATAATAATTTAACTAAATTACACAGTTAAACACTCATTATTAATTAAAAGTTGTTGTTGTTTTAAGTGCAGATTACAGGAAAAATATAGCGAACCCGATTGACGGACATATTTGCGAACTAGGAGGGAAAGAAATTCAATTTTTTCGAAAAAATTGAAAAAATTACCCTGTCCCCCCCCTTAACTTTTACAAATCTCAACATTATGAGCTGAAATTCGGTAAGGATTTTCAGTTTTAAGTGCAGATTACAGGAAAAATATAGCGAACCCGATTGACGGACATATTTGCGAACCAGGAGGGAAAGAAATTGAATTTTTTCAAAAAAATTGCAAAAAATGACCCTGTCCCCCCTTCTTAATTTTTACAAATCTCAACCTGGTGAGCTGAAATTCGGTAGGGATCTTCATATGTGGACGTCCACATGAAAAGGGCCCATATTGGAACTATTGGAGTTATCTATATGGGCGTATTCCTGGCAAAATTTGGAAAATTTTGAGTGGTTTTAGAACTTTTTTTGTTAAAAATTCGCTGAGTTACGGAATTTAAAATTTTAGAACGCCAAAGACCTCAATTCGAGAAAAACGGAATTAAAGATTGCGATACAAACTAATTGTTGTATCTCTGGTTCTTCTGGGAAGTTATTCAGATAAGAATTGTTTACAGTCCAGGACACCTCAAAGATAAAAAATCAAGAGGTTTTAAATTTTTACACACCTCTATTTTTAAAATACGATTACTTTTGCAAATGACCGACAAAAAAGGCCCTTTTCATTTTTCTAAAGAACCAATGAAATCAAACAGTTAAATTATCGATAAATTAATGCAAACCGCATTATTCGACTTGAAAAAACATGTAGATTGATAATAAAAAATAAAAAAAAATTAAGATTTTGCTCCAAAATTACTAAATTGCGATTATCTCGAAAACTAGAACCGACAATATGGGCCCTTTTCATGTGGACGTCCACATATATATTTATATATATATTTTATATTATTATATAATAATACATACATATATATATATATATATATATATATATATATATATATATATATATATATA